TGATAGTGTTTAAGATTTAGTATAGAAAACAATCAACCGCACTAAATCTAATAACATTACATTTATTTTATTGAAAATCAATGTAATAGTTCCAATAAATATCAAAATCTCTAATATATTTATAATTCACAATTTTCAAAATATTTAGTTTTTAAAGATGGATTAATAGTGTATATCCAAACATTATTTTTGAAGTTAAAATTTAAAATATTTTAAATTTATATGTTTTAAATATTTTACGAAACAACAATACAACAAAACTAATATCATTTATTAAGTATTTTTATATATAAATTCTGATTATTTCACGCTTTATGTAGAATTATTATCTAAATTAATCTCTATATTCATGCATTAAATATTACAATAAAAAATATATAAGTCAAACTTAATTAGGTTTTTAATTTTTTTCAATATTTCTAAAAGTCCAATTACATATAAAAATATATTAAAAAAATTATGAAAAATCAGAAAACATCAATTTATAGATTTTAAAATTAGAATTATATTTCACAATTAATTATTTTGGTCTAAATGAAATAAAATTTTGTTAGTATTTAGTAATAAATAAATATGGATTATAACTTTTTTCTCACAATTTAAATATAGATCTTATTTAAATTATTTTTATATGTTTAAGATAATAATATTAATAAAAGTCATGTGCTAATTAATATATATATACACACACACACACATATATATATATATATATATATATACACAGATGTTGAAGAAAAAAATTTAGCAAATCAGTATTGCAATAAGTAATAGCTCCAAAAATAATTATATGTATGTATTTATATTGAGATGCTTAAAACTATTTAGTTTGTACAAAGAAGACCATTACAATACATATATATTATGATTTCCAAAATTTTAATTTTTTAAAGAAATTTCATGTATATTTTGAAGATTTATATAAAAATTATTTTCAATGAAAAAATTTTAGAAAAAAAAAAAAAGTGACTAAAAAATAACATAGGAAGATCAAACAATGTTTTTAGCCATTTCTATATTTTAATAAAATAATAATTATGGAATATTTTTTAATATTATAATCAACTTTAAATATGTATAGTAATAATAATAATGATAATTTAAAATACTATTCCCTTGTACGAAAAAAAATTAGTTCCCTTGTTATATATATATATATATATATATATATGAATTTATGCTTAAGAAGTTTTTTTTAAAGATAGAAAATCTAAGAGATAGATAAAAAAAATAGAACATGTTTGTATTATTGATGAATAATCATTTTAATTTTTTTTTAAAAAATGTTATTCAATTAAATTTATAGCACTGTTTCATATTTTTAAGGTTTTTAATTTTTCAAAATAAAATATTATCAATCATTCGTTTCTAATTTAAGATAATGTATTTTCACCACAAAATCTCAAATTGAAGTAAATCTTTGTTCTTGATTGATAAATGTAGTCAATAGTGTCATAAAGATAATTATTTTGAGAATTTGGATTAATGATTTATGAAATTGGTGTAATGATTAAGTTCTAATTTTGCAAGTGTGACGTAAGTGGAAATAATATGCTTTGATTGCTAAAAATTTATAAACAATTGGAAAAATTTACAATAATAGTACTGTTACATTCTAGTATAAATATTATTGTATTTTTCGTATTATAAGAATTTTCAAAATTTTAAAATTTAGTAATTTTTGGTTTTGAGTCTTATTCCAGAATATTCTAAATTTGATAAGAAGTCAAGAAATTAAGTAATTTTTAAATATATGCATACACAAAATCATGTATCAATCTGAGGTTATAAAAAATAATTGATAAAGAATACTCTTTACAAATATAAATAAATAAATAACACATAATTTATAAATGGAATCATAGTAAAGATAAAAGCTTAAATTTTTTACATTGCGTAGGATATGTTCATTTTAATACACAAATAAAATAACAAACATGTTTATTTGTCTGTGTAAATTAATTATATGTTTTTTGAAGATATCTAAAAGCATGTACTTAAGAAATGTTTGTATGTAATGAGCTTTTATTTGTAAATGTTATACAAAATGAATCAAGTGGGAAAGGCCTTCTGCCCTCATTAAGACCTGATTCCATTATGAACTTGGATATTACAAGGTCTGATGAAGCCCTAGATGTCCATCTCTAATTAATGAAAGCTTAAAGACATAGCTTGTCACCCATGATGAAACCATGCCTGACAATAGAAATGGCCTTTTAGCTTTGAAAGGGTATCTGACTTTGTGACCTTGAATCCTCAAAGTGGAACATGCTGCACCTTCAACTGAGCTATCAAAAATAAAACTAAAGCAATTTTTTTAAAGAAAAAGCTAAATAATAACTAAATAATGGCATATAGAATTCCAAAGAAAAGTGAATGTGATCTACTTAATGTATAATAAATAAATAGAATTCAAGTTCAAAATAAATAACAAAGAAATAAACATAGTACTTAAACAAGCCAGTGAGTTGGCCAAAATCTTACCAAGCCATTTACTTTTTTTAAATTTTTTCCCTCTCATCCACTTAAACATTCCAATCTATCTACATCAGATGTCTTCAAGTTACAAATAAGAATTAATTAAGTCATAAGTTTCCTTTACATACACACATACATACAAGTACATATATATATATATATATATATAAAATAAACAAGTAGATGAACAAGAGCAGATCATGGGGATGCTAACAGCTGCAATTATGCAAAATCATGGGAAGGAAGCCTTGAGTGGGTTTTGCCCTAGCTCTCCTTTAGCTTGATTCATTTAACCAGAGTTGTTGTTGTTGCAGTGATTGTAGTAGCTGTGGAAGGTGAGGTCCAGAGTTTGATATTGATGTTGCCTGCCCCCCCCCCCCCCCCCCCCCCTCCTCCCTTCCTGCTCTCCACACAGCCCACAGCCCATGGAAGCTTGCTTCAGTGTGAATTAAGGCACTTACTCAGGGATCTGCAAATTCTGGAACCTTCTGAAGCACATGGAATTGTGCAGGCCAAGGGCAAGCAAGGGAGGGGGGACAATCTCCAAGGCTGTAATACAGTAGTTGAGGAGGAGGGATGGGGGAATGCATGTTGGCGTTATCTACCCTTCCAGAGAATTGTTTTTATTGTCACATGGTACGTCTTCAATGAGCCAGGCAGCCTTCGTCTAACTCTTTTTCTTGTCTATCTGCTTGTCCGTTCATTCTTGACAGTTATTCATCTAACTTTTTTTGGTTGTGCTTTGTTGCCTTCCTCCTCAAGTTTTTTTTTTTTTTTTTTTTTTTTTTTGTTTGTTAAAGATATATATATTTTTTAAAAATATATTATCCAAGTAATAGTTTTAATAGGGAAGTAATAACTATGTAGCTGAACAAGGCTGCACAGTGTTATGTACTGGGATGACCATGAGATAGTGCAAAAAGTGAGTTCAGGGTTTTCTCTTTTGTTTTATTTCGTTTTGTCTTTTGTGTACATTTGAATTAATATATATATATATATATATATATATATAAAATATGAAATGATTATTTGACTGAGTTTATAGTAGGGTAAAATAAACTTCTGTGTCAGTTTCAGCATTTGGGTGCAGGGGAAATCTTGACCAGTAGTTACAAGGTCAAAGGCCTGATAAACAAATGGATATTTTTGCTTTTACGTTGAATTTGACTGTCTGAGAGTGACGGTTAGGTGCTTTCTAGTGGATCAAGTTTGTTTCAAGTTTAACTGCACACAATTATCAGATGGTAGTTTGTCAATAATAGATTTGACATTCTGTACACTTCTTATTTTGCAATATTGCCTTTTTCAATTTTATTTTCAAATTAGAGATTATTATTTTTTCCTATCAATTGATAGACAATTCTGATTTTCTTTCAAATTACTCATTTTGGAAAATTGATAACATATACCAAAAAAAGTAATGGAAGACAAGAAAAGAGTAAATGGGAGGTAGAAGTGAAGGCACAAGTTTTCCCTTGACTTATTGTAAATTGTAATATGTATGTATGTATGTATGTATGTATGTATAGTATTTTGCATAACAAATATTTTAGAAACTAGGTCTGCCAGTGCGCCAATTATTACTCGCTAAAATCATTTGAATTTTTTCAAATTTCTTGGATTATTTATGTTGTTTAAATTACATGATTTGTGAGCAAGGGTTGAGGTCTTTTTATTCAGAAAGATGGATTTATTTTATAATTTTCTCTACAAATTTAAACACAAAAAGTCGTTTCAACCAAACAATAAAATCTCTAAAATTCAAAAAGAAATTTAGCAGAATATTGTGTGATATTTAAAAAAAATATTAAAGCTTAAAAAATAATTTAAAAAAATAAAGTGAAAAACAAAAAAGGTGAGATAAAAATTTAAACAAGTAAATTTTTTATTAAATTAATATGGTTCCATAATAATGTTTTTTAGAAGTTTAAAATTTATAAAGGAAATAAAAAAAAATAAAGGTATTACGTCGGTATTTTTCTAGAGATAAGGTTTTTAATTTAATAAGGCTTGCCTTAAGTTTGCTTGCAATAGAAAAGATAAGATTCAAATGAACTTATTGTTATGTCTCTTTGGTGTAGACAGCACAATCTTTATTTTTTCAAAGAGGAATTATAGAGATAAGACTTCCTAAAACTAAAGCTTCCTAATAATAGATTTTTTCTTTTTTTCTTGTTTCTTTTTACCAAGTAAAAAATATTGGTGAAGCTTTTGAACTATGGCATTTTAAGATGCAATTTTACATAATAGGCACCAAACTCACACATTGATCTTTTTATTTCTTTAGACCATGATCTATGCATTTCTACAAATATAGATGTCAAGTAGTTGAATCATATTTTTACTTACAAACATTCAATTATTTAGGGTCCCTAAATTATTGGTAGGAAGGATGCATGGTTAAAGATTTGGGGTTTAAATAAAGAAATACGAAATCATTTATAAGCAAGTAGAGAAGATTAAAGGCTTATGATTTATTAAAATGTTTTGGGTGCAAAGACCCATTTCGATTTCCTTTTCATCTATACCAGGTACCAATTAAGTACCTTAAAAGGAGGCTTTATAAATCCTAAAGGCTACCAAGAGTTTAACGTAAGGACTGTTATAGCGAAGGTGGTTTTTCAGCTAAAATTATATTGGTCAGTAAGGGAATTGTCCGTGGGTGGTTTGTCATCAAGGAGTATATTAGTAAAGAGGATAGAGGGGCTGAAAAGGGCGGTGGCAGGGTGATTGGGAGCATGGGCAATGTCATGAGGGTGGGCAGCCGTTTCCTTCAATAACATTACAAAACGGCCTCCTACCACCAATTCAGGGTCCTTGTGTCAGTGGGGGACAGTCCTCAGTCATGGAAACAATGAATACCAAGTACACAGTACACTCATTTCTCACAGAGTTGCACATGGTTTTGGCATAAAAAAAACAACATGACGATATGGCGTTTCTCGAAACCCTAATTCCCACCTCAGACTCACTCTCATTTTCAGAGCTTCAGTAATGTCCGCGGATTGGCACTGCACAGTCGTCGCAAACAGACAGCGATTCCGAATGGGTCGGTGCAATGTACCTGGATAAGCCATCCAGCTATATAAATTGTCAGTCGTTGCTGAAAGCGGAAGGATCATTTTCGATGGGTTACAATCAGTCTGCAGCAGAAAGTGGAGACTAGACAGGTTTCAGAGTTGGCGTTTGTGCATGTGTGCGGAGAGAGTGAGAGATCGAGAGGGAGATAGAGTCACTCCAGCGATGCCCAAGCTTGGTTTGCCGTTTGATGGTGAAGACATAGCGCATATGCCTAACTGCGAACATGGAGCTCACGTCAGTTGGTTGTTTACCCTGCCATGTGTTCTTCAGAGATCGATCGGTCAGCTCGAAAGCGCCTCACCTACGACATCGATTGTTCACGTATTCATGAACAAGAGTGGGTTTATTTACGCGGTGTGTGCTATCGTGATACCAAGCCCATCAGATTCGGTAATATTTCCCGCGACTGCTAAGTACCCTGGGGGGGTTGAGACAAGTGGCTATGGTACTTGAGCCACAGGTTGCGCGTCCCGTGACATTTGAATAGACGTGACCAATACCGCTGGTGCTGGGGTATCTGCAGGAACTCACAACGAGAGGGGAAAAACAACCTACTGCATTCAACTAAGAGTGAAATTGCTGAGAGGGGAAATAAGAACAAAAGCAAAACGGGCATTAAGGCGCATGCACCAACCATTCCAAGAGTGATGTAATACCGCGCGTGAGTTGGTGATCCCCCTTGCAGACAGCGTTAACTCCGTCCCTCCAGCTCCACATCTGTCGAACTGAACGAATGTCGAAGTATTGTGGGTCCTAGGGAATCCACATTGAGAGCATCATAGCACCTGCACATCACCAGAGACGTAATCATCAATCATCTTGCATAATCTACACAATTTCTCCCTTCAATCTTCACGAGGTGCTGCGTCGCGACAAGCGCATGGATGCCAGACTTGGAGTGGTGCCTGACGCAGGTTATGAATATGTATATTTATATCTATATCTATATATGAATATGTATATTTATATCTATATCATATATATATGCTCACATCACTTACTGGCGCACACGCTGTCTGCAGTGTAGCACAGCTTCCTCTTAAAGAAGAACTACAAGGAGTACAATAACGCAACCAGAGCTGGAACCTCTTCCGATCAAATGGAGACCTTGATATGCAGATACTGATCTGCAATATTACTTTTCGAATCGACGAAACCTTTCTTTAGACTTAGATCCGTATAATGATTCATACGAGAGAACTGTGGAGTTTATAGAGCTTTGTTTCCTAAGGATCATAATGGGATATAGTTTTATTGGGAGATGATTGAATGGTACCGTATGGCCATCTATTTTATTAATTTTTTTTACACGAAAACGTGGTATATCCAATGTATTGAATAGTTATTGGAACTAACTCCGAATACCCAATTGGACGGAGTCAAGAGTACTATTTGAAGTAAGTAAAATTACTTCTAAAAAGGATATACTTTTTTATATTATGAAATCACTGAGTGGTACTCTAAAATTCCATTTAATTGATGTATGTGTTATAGAGTCTAACATTTATTTTGCCATCCATGTTTTATTCCATCTTTTTAGAAGTGATACCTCTTGTTAAGAATGTTTGCTTATTTTCTTTTATAAAAGCTTCTAACTAGGCTGCCCATATTCTATGAAACATTGCAAGATTAATTTTCTATCATAGGATTCATTCCATACATCTTATTCAAATATAAATTTTATTTTTTAAAATTCAAATAGTCCATAAGCAAAGCCCTTGAAGTAACAACTATATTTTTCAAAAATATTGAACTTGGAAGGAATCTTATCTACAAATTTGGTTTGTTTCCATTTTAGGACCTTCTACAGACCTTTTTTTTGAGGATTTAAAGTCAATTTGTATAAAAGAGATAGGCTAGTTCTAATTTTTTCAAACTTGTGGACATTCCCAAAATTAATATAAAATAGATTTAAGCTTGTGAAGTAGATAGACAACACACACTAAATATTAATGTTAAGACTTATTTATCTTCTTTATGTGTTGATTATTATATTTTTATATCAAATAAGCCAAATTCACAATGCTACTTTGTATGAATAGACTTGGAATCAAAGGTTATTTTAGGTAAATTAAAATTAAGGCCTAATAATAAGTTCCATTAGTATGTCAATATATTGATGTTGGACAAAATCTTTTGCAAGAATTTTCTTCTAAATTTGTTTAAATAAGTCAATAATCTTATTTTTGATATTTAAATATATGAACTAAGATCCAAGGTAGTTGTTCATTGGACTAAAGAATATACTAATGTCAAATAAATCATGGTTTTTTGAACTAATGTTTTAGATCATTCAAGTTGCTTTAAAAAATCTTTAACTTATTTTTATTTATTTATTTATTTATTTATTTTCTTTTAGGATTTGGATTTCTAAAATCTTATAGAGATTTACATTATAATAGAAGATTTTAGATTCAAGACATATCTTATAGATTTTAACTTTGATACTCTGGTTGTCGTTTTACTTATTCCGGAAGAAACCTCCCAAAATAAACCAATATAGGAGAATTCAAAAACAAGGAAAGACCATGTATATGAGCTCCAATTGTTAGGGTCACGCAATTAACAGCTATTGCTGAATACTTACCATATCGAAGAACACGTAGCTTTTCCTCCTATTGTTCACTCTTTCATATCAATATAATAACATCCACGACAACGATTTCAGTACCCTATGTAATTCACGAACACACAAGCATATCCCAAACCCTGGAACGAATAACTTCCAATCCACAGAATCTGATTAAGACAATTCCTTCTATTATATGTATATACCTAGTGTATAGTATAAATACGGATCAAGACAATTCCATCGATTACAATTCTTCTCCACTAAACTTACAACCTTGCGATAAACAATGACTGGAAACTTCCATACATCCTCAATCTTTCACAACAATTGATAAACAATGATCCATAAACAACTTCGTAAATCAAACATTAATTCATTAAAAAGATTCTCTTCACTAGAATCAACACTAACACAAAAGAAACAAGAAAATTAAAAAGAAGAGATAGTACCAAGCTTATCCTCGGCTCATGACTATCATAGTCTGGTATTTTCTTCCCCTCTTCCATCCTCCTTATACTATCTCGAGATACCAACTCCTATACTACAGATGATAACTACTTTTCCTGACTATTCATCCATTCTACCTATTGAACCACCTTTTCAATAGTTATCTATCCGTATTTATACTATACACTAGGTATATACATTTTGAAAATAACTACTTATTCTACATAGCCCCACTCTTAACTGTGCAGCGTCTCTACAAACACAATATTGATAAACAAAAATCAATATATATATATATATATATATATATTTTTTTTAACTGGATTGTTCAATCTCTTCGATTTCTGGCGCTAGCTCTATTTGGTCTTATTCCAACACTATATCTTCTTCCTCCGACTCGTCCTGAATCTCTGCACTTAATTAAGCTGTTAAATCTTCATTATACGCTCTCAATTCTCAAACCTAAGCTTCTAATTGGAAGATTCTGGCATCTTTAACTTCCAGTTGTTGCTGCTACTGTTGCAATTTCTCCTCCAATTTTTCAATTCTTACTCCCGTTGAGGCAAATGTCTGTGACTGACCAATACTAACCAAATCACTCTCCAATTTTGTTACTGTTTCCTTCAAAACAACAATTTCTGCCTGTAACTCATCCGTATTGTTTCAATATTGGTCACCTAATTGTTTCTTTTTAAACTCCAATGCCTCCTTCTTCTCTCGTTCTATCTTCAATTGAGCGTTCATCTTCTCCTGTTCCAATCTATACAATTTGTGAGTTTGTAGTAATTCTTGCCTTTGATTTTTCAGGATATGCTGAATCCTCTGTTTTTCCTTTGACTAGTTTTCTACTTTCTCATCCAATTCACGCTTCACTCGTATCTTAAATTCCGATTCTATCTTGATGACTTGTTCCTGTTCTCTGATTTTATAATTTTGTTCCAATATTATTTTTTTGCTTGCTTCCACTTGCCTTTTTAAGCTATCCTCATCTTCGAGCTTACTCACTATAAGTTGTAGCGGGGAAATTTGACCTAATATAACTTCTTTAAGATTCCACCCTTCTGTTACACCTCGTTGAAACTCTAATTGGTTGCTTTCTCTTGGAACTGGTATTGGTGTTGTCATCTCTATTGTCGGCCGAATTGGAACTCGCTATGGTGTAGATATTGTCATGGACATACATTGGAAGATTCTTCGAATATTCTTTTAGAATATTCTCTGAAGATTCTCTAAAGATTCTTTTAGAAGGTTCTAGAAGATTCTTAGAATATTCCCTAAAGATTCTCTTAGAAGGTTCTAGAATATTCTTAGAAGGTTCTAGAATATTTTGATAGATTCTAGGAAGTTGCTCGAGAAGTTTCCTAATTAGTAGAAGTTGTTGGAGAAGCGTCCTAGTTAGCGGAAGTAGCTCGAGAAGCTTCCTATTCAGTAGTATATATAGGAGTCGAGGTTGAAGGGTTCTTCAGTCTCGACAACACATCTCTTGGAGTTCTAGCTCACCTTTCTGGTGTTGTTCTTGTACTCATCTGTTTAATCTAGTTCTGCCACTTCTTCTTGAACTTCTTATTAGATTTCAAGTCTGTATTTTGTGTCCGTGACAGTTTGTCGAGACTGCATTTTCACTGGTATCAGAGCTAGTTCCTTCTTGTTAGAGAGTGGATTACCCCTCTTCTTGAAGGTGTGCTAGTGTTTTAGAGGTTGCGGATTACCCTCCTCTAAACTGATATCTCTTCTTTCTCAATATTGGAGCCTTATTCTTCTTGGAGAGAGTGGATTACCCCTCATCTTGGAGTCTTAAGGCGTTTTAGAGGTTGCGGAGTACTCTCCTCTGAACCAATATTGTCCTTTTGTCAAAACTCTTTTTTCTTCTTTCTGAAGGTTAGCCGAAGGTTAAGACGTTAAAATGGCTGAAAGTTTGGAATCCAAACTAGACGCCATCATAAATGCTCTTGCCTCGTTGTCACATAGGACAACAGAGATCGAAGGAGTCATGGTAGGACTCCATAACAATGGAGCATCTGGGATAGCGCCATCTAAAGCATATCAGCCTCAAACTTCTGCGTCAGAAGAAGCAGTTCTACCTCCATTTCAACAAGATCGAGTAGTCCTACAACGAAAGGAGCCTCGAGTTAGTCTTCCGGATAAGTTTGATGGAACTCGTTCCAAGTTTCGAGGTTTTGTCAACCAAATCAGGTTGATAACAATTTTACAGCCCGAACGTTATCCGACGGAGGAAGCGCGTGTTGGGCTTGTTGGAACCTTGCTTACAGCACAAGCTCTGTCTTGGTTTACTCCCTTGTTTGAGAAGCGATCGCCAATCCTGAGCAACTTTGAAACGTTCTTGGAGGCGTTTGCAGAAGCATTTGGCGAGCATGATAAAGTTCGATGGGCTACAACAAAGATCCGATCGCTACGACAAGAAACACGCTCTGCATCAGTCTATGCCTCGGATTTCAGACAATTGGCAAGTGACATTAATTGGGGTGAAGAGGCGTTGGTGAGTCAGTTTTATTGGGGCTTGAAGGATGATGTGAAGGACTTGTTGTTATCTCTTCCTGATCCTCAAACGCTCAACGAAGCTATTAGCCAAGCTGTAAAGTGTGACAACCGCCTATTCCAGCGTCGCCAAGACCAACGTCCAAGACACCAAATGACTCGTTACGACGTGACTATATCTGCAAATAGCTTAAACTCACATTCGTAGGCAACAGACATGCAAATCGACACGGCGCGTGTCCGATCTCTTACTCCAACAAAGAAGAAACGGCGTATGGAGGAAGGGTTATGTTTGTACTGTGGAGAAGAAGGTCACAAGGTTGGAAATTGCCCAAAGAAGCAAAATTGGCACCCTGTCAAGACTAGAAGTGCGATGATTCCGGAAAACGACGACGCCCAGCCACAGTAGGAACCATGCGGCTGGACAATCTAATATCACGACAACAATCAGGTTCCTCCTTCTCTGTCCAATCTGCCCGTTGTTTTACAATTCCTTTGTTTTTAGGCCCTCAAAAACAAAAAACTTTAGCTTTATTAGATTCGGGGGCATCTACTTGTTTTTTAGATGAAGAGTTTGCTAAACGCCACAAGATCCGTTTAGTACAGAAGTCCAAACCTGTTCACGTAGAGGTGATAGATGGACGACCCTTATTGTCAGGCAACGTTACCCACGAATCAGAACCTATAGAAGTGGTGTTTAAGGACCATAGTAGTCACGTTATTTTTAATATTATTAGAACCCCATCAAGCCCTGTTATACTTGGCCTTTCTTGGTTAGAAGATCATAATCCGTCCATTGATTGGAGGCTACGAAGGATAACATTTCCTGAAAAAAATAATAATAAACCTGTTGGTAGAACCTACATGAAGAAATCCATGTTTATTGGAGCGAGAGCGTTCCTAAGATCGTCCAAGGAAGGCGCACCATTTGTCATTTATGCAGCTCCAACTAGCGGC